AATATTTATTTATTTAAATTTTAAATAAAATTTATATATTCAAATATAATATTTATATATGTTTATATATTTATATATAATTTATTATAAATTTTATTTATATATAATAAATATTTAACTAACCCTAAACTCTAAAAGATAAATATTAAACTATGCTAAAACTAAAAGAGTAATCTTGAAAGGCAAACTAATGTTAATTGACTGCCAGAGCGAATTGATAGGGCGCTTTCTGTTTTGAGTTCATCGGATTCTGTTCTACCCTGGTAGCCAGGAAACAGACAGATAGATAGAGAACTCTTCTGCTTTCAGAGGATACCCTCCTGCAGAAGGGTCTCTCGTGGAGATGCCAAATACAATACAATACACTGCAAACAAAACTCAATAGATTGAAAAGTAAATAAAAAAAATAAAAATATAATATATCACGGCGGAGTCGTTTCGTTGATTATCAGAAGTCTTCGTTGCAAGGGTTTGGTCACATTCCTGGTGCCGCTGAATTCCAGATTCATGCGCGAAACGTGTCGCGGCTTGACCGATTCACGTTTCGTTGCTTCCACGCTTTGGTTTGGACATTCTGATTCTCTTGTGGCGACTCACCTTCCGAAGCAGGTTGCATTGTCATATTCTTAGGGTTTTGATGTTGATGTTGAGTTGAATATCGGTTTGGGATTTGTTACGATGAGTTGCGCGCAAAGGCTTTTGGTTCACATTGCTGAGAATGGACATTCGTATGAGTTGGTGTGTGAGGAGAGCACGGTTGTTGAGGCGGTTATGCGGATCATTGAATCCGAAACTGGGATTGGTTTCAGCGATCAGGTTGTTCTCTGTTTGGGTATAAAGCTGGAGCCGCAGCAGCTACTGTCGGCTTACAAGCTTCCCTCCAGTGGCCGGGAAGTGTTTGTGTTCAACAAAGCGCGGCTTCAGAGCAATTCGGCGCCCCCACAGCGTGAGAGAGTTGAACTTCATACTAATTTGGAGCCTCCATCACCATCCTCACACCACGAGCCTCACCCTCTTGATCATGCATTGGACCCTGCCTTGAAGGCTTTGCCTTCGTACGAGCGCCAATTCCGGTTCCATTACCATCGTGGGAATGCGGTTTATGGTTGTACCATGGCCAAGTATGAGCAGTGTGAGAGGGTTTTGAGAGAGATGATGGTTCAGGAGAGGGCGCTGGAGGTTGCCAGGGGGAATTTGGATCAGTACTATCGATTGATTAGCCAAAACTATGTGGAATTCATGAAACGCTATGTGCAGCAACACCGGGTGCATTCGGATCTTGTGGCCAATTTTGGGAGGGATGTCGAGAAGTTGAGGTCCATCAAAATTCATCCTGCTTTACAAACCGTCAAGCGGAAGTGCTTGCTCGATCTTCTGAAAGAAGAAAACGTGAGGAAGTTGGTGGAGAACTGCATTAGCTCCCACAAGCAGTTTGAGAATAAAGTTTCACATTTTAAGCAGAGTTTCGGTGAAGTTAAGCATAGGGTAGAGGACTTGTTGTCGAGTGGGCCTTTCTTGCCCGTGAAGAATTTAGAGAGAACAATTAGAGAGCATCAGAGATATATAACTGAACAGAAGACTATAATGCAATCTTTGAGGTTAGAACTGGTTTATTTTATCAAGTTATTTCCCCCCTTTTTTTGTGTTAACTTTTCATTCAGGGGAGTAACAGAATTGCATGCTTTTATGCTGTTTCTTCTGGAAGGTTTAATCTTTCTATTTAAGCTTAGGTTGCTACTCTGAACACAATTCAGGATCAATTTTCCATTGCCTAAATTCTTTTCATATATGTGCATAGACTTGTTACTTTTTCTCAAGCACCATGAATTTTTTTCTTCTTCTTTTTATTATTTGTTTTGTTGATCAGTAAAACTTAAATGGAACTGATGCTAAATACAGAGTAGGATATTTTAAGGGAGGGGAAATACGCAGATTAGTTAGAGGGTGGAAAAGTAATGACTGAGGTCCTTGATTAGGACATAGTAGAGGAAATTTGAATAAGATTATGAGGAAGAGGTTGTTCAGACTTTATATGCCAAAATATCTGTCTTGTGTAGTTGTGCACAGAAACCTGTTCATATACGAATAGCTTCCAAATATGCCTAATGAGAGTATGAAACTGCTTTGATAATGAATGTCAAGAGCAAACTCTCCCCAGAAACTACTGAAAAACTTCTTGGGCTATAATTTGTTTTTCAGTGGAAGCATCAAAGGTTGAGGTATCCTGACTGTGCAGTGGCATGTTGCTTTTGTAATATGATAGTTCACCAGCAGTGAGGGAATATGGAAATGGAATATTGCTTGGTTTCAGATATCACTTGTTTTGCTTATTTTGATTGCTGCAATTCAATATATATTCTTCATTATTCTTTCATCATATGAGATACTTATAAGTTAAAACTATACTAGATGTTGTTCCTTTCATCTTATGAGACACTTAAAAGTTAAAACTATACTAAATGTTGTTGGCATAGCTTATAAGTTAAATTTAATGGGGTTTTCTGCAGCAAAGATGTTAACACTGTGAAGAAACTTGTGGATGATTGTCTCTCTTGTCAATTGTCCTCTTCACTTCGTCCTCATGATGCAGTTTCAGCCTTGGGCCCTATGTATGATGTTCATGATAAAAATCACTTGCCTAAGATGCAGGCCTGTGACCGATCTATTTCTAAGCTACTTGACTATTCCATGGAAAAAAAGAATGAAATGAACATATATGTCCATAATTACATGCAGAACGTAACTTATGTTACTTATCTTATCAAAGATCAGAAGCTACAATTTCCCGTCTTTAAAGAGGCAATGGCTCGCCAGGATGACTTATTTGTAGATTTAAAGTTGTTCCGCAGTGTTGGCCCTGCATACAGAGCTTGCCTTGCGGAAGTAGTGAGACGAAAGGCGTACATGAAGCTGTACATGGGTGTGGCTGGGCAACTGGCTGAAAGACTTGCTACAAAGTGTGAGGCTGAGATCAGGAGACGGGAGGATTTTCTAAAAGCTCATAGTCCTTTTATACCTAAAGAATTATTAGCTTCTATGGGCTTGTTTGACTCTCCTAACCAATGTGATGTCAATATAGCTCCATTTGATGTTGGTTTGATTAATATTGACATATCAGATGTGGATCGTTATGCTCCAGAGTATCTAGCAGGGGTAAAGTCCAAACTAGAAAAGCATGGGAGCTTTAAAGGTTCATCTGCTGTGTGTAGTGACAGCTGTCTCTCAGCTGAGGATGTAGATACTAGTACTGACTCAATTGAGAGATATGACTTTGAGGAGCACCTTGATGGAAGTGAGTTGTTTGAAATTGCTGGAACTAGCAAAATTGAAGTTGAAAATACAAAACTAAAAGCAGAGCTTGCTGCTAAAATAGCCTTGATTTGTTCTCTATGCCCTGTGGTTGAGTACGAGTCCCTGAATGATGAAAGGATCCATAGTATACTGAAGAATGCCACAGAGAAGACAGCTGAAGCTTTGCATTTGAAAGATGAATATATCAAACATTTTCAATCAGTGCTTAAGATGAAGCAGCTGGAGTCTATCTCGTATGAGAAACGTATTCAAGAATTGGAGCAGAAGTTATCTAATCTGTATGTGCAGGGACAGAAGATATCCAGTGTAAGTGATACAGCTGACTTCCCCTTTCTGTCTGGGAAGACAGATAATTACAAGCAAGAATTTGTGAGCGATGACATGCCTTCTGTATCTACTACTGAGCCCATGGGTGAAGTTTCATGCATCTCAAGTTCCTTGGATGGAAAACCTGGTCTATTCATTAAACATTTAGGTAAAGCTTTGGATGGGGTGGATGAGAACATGTTGGATTCCTCAGGAATACAAAACCCACAGATGGATTCATCCAAGGTGGAGCCTCATCGCGAAGAAATGCAAAGTGGTGATAAATTCAGAAAAGACAAGATAGTCAGACAACTGGGCATGTTGCTAACAAACAGTTCCACTGCTGATAGCATGCCTCTGAATGATCTAGTACCTTGTGACTCAGCAGTTCATCCAGACATGGAATCCAAAGCAAACAATAAGTTGTTGGAACTTCATAGTACACTTGAAGACAAATCAAATCAATTGAATGAAACTGAGGCCAAACTTGAAGCTGTTCTGGAGGAGGTTTCTGTGCTCAGACGGGAGTTGGATGCAAGTCTAAAACTACTTGATGAATCTCAGGTGACAATTGTGAATAAAATGCAGATTAAGTTGCAAGTGAATTTCCTGAAAAGTGGTTGCATGTTTTATATAGGTTGTTATGTATTTCCATGGATTACTAATTTAATCTCATTTTCCAATTTTTATCCAAGAGAAAAACCTCATTGCAAATTTTTATTCAAGAAAAAAGCTTCATCTGTCAATCTCTGTTCTTGTGTTCTCTTCTCTTACACATACATTTTCCTTCTTACACTTACCCTTTGCCTAGCCTCCACTATTAGCACCCATGTTTTATTTTTGTTGTATTTAGCTTCTGCAGATCCCATAAATGATATTACATGTATTATTAATAACAATTTTCCCCAAGTATCTGTATTTGGATACTGTTGCTCAATTAAATCATGCCAAGCAGAGGTTTTGTCAACTTGTGTCAATCGTACTGGTAGCTTAGTCAAGTTCATAAGGGTATAGAGTGTTGATTCCGTTGACTACATGTTGAAAACCTATTTGGTTGGATAGGAAATCTTGGTAATATTATTCTTAATTTAGTTAGAAAATAGTTAAGCATAATAAAATTTTGATTCTAATTCATAGAAATTGATTTTTATTTCTAAATTTTCATGACATAAAGTGAATTAATGTGGACTATACATTGTCATTGTCCATTGTCTCTTGCTAACAAATAAGGAACGTTTAATATATGATATATACCATTATATATACTTCCAATTACTTAAAAGACTATTATTAAGTAGTTTCTTTGTTTTCAATATAAGTGCTTTCTACTTTTGATTTCTTATAGTATCTAAAGAGTAGCATTATTATTATTATGATGATGATGTTGCGTGAAAGGTGCAAACACTTAATGAGGGACTGAACATGGGATATCATAATTACACTTTAGTCTTAAAGACCTGAATTGTTGCCTATTAAGCTATAATTTTGTGGGCACACATACTTGAATTTAACCTTAAGGTCACTGGCTCATTAGTTTTCATAATTATTGTTGTGGCATTAATTGGTTGTATTATTTATAAATATAATCTTGTTGATTCATCAAACAGGGGTCCATGGTCCAACAAAAAGTGCATTTTAATATTCTAATGTCTTCTCCCCCTCTCACTACAGATGAATTGTGCTCACCTAGAGAATTGTTTGCATGAGGCAAGAGAGGAAGCTCAAACACAAAAGAGTTCAGCTGAAAGGAGGGTCTTGGAGTATGGTTTACTACGTGCATCTGTTATTAGGATGCACAGCCTTTTTGAAAGACTCAAGACTTGTGCTTATTCTACGACTGGTGTGGCTGGTTTTGCAGATTCTCTGCGTGCTTTAGCACAATCTTTAGCCAAGTAATATATTTATTTAGTTATTTATTAATTTTTTGGGGAAGACCAAAAGATGGCCCTTTGGGTGGGACTACTTCTCCTACACAGGCATTGTGTTGGCCATTGCTACACGGTGCTTCTATTGGGCAAAGTCCCCTTTCACGTAAGCCTAGTTTGTCAACTGAGTGACAACTAGCGCTTATTTTTAGCAAAGTAGTTCATTTTGCATTAATTACTTGCATCATGATGGTCTCAGTGTGAGAACTAGACCCTCCCCCTCAATGTAGCACCCAATTTACTCTTAGAAGGAAAAACAATGCTATATGGTGGTAGACCTGTAGTAATGAAACTAATAAATTTGCTTCCTCAACTATTTAGATTATGATAAATTTGACCCCTCTAAAGTAATGGGTTCATTTTAGAGGAAAAACATTGTGTTATAACCATTGATTTGAAAAATAAGTAGTTGAGATTGTGATAGAAATAAATTTGCACATGTATAATTACAAAGTTGTATGAATCTGCTCCTCTGATTTTCTCATCAACTGCTATAATTTGTCACTTTTCCATCTAAAGTGAAATCTTTATTTTAGAGCATCCAAATTCTCTTATTTTATACTAGGATTAATTAATTTGTAAAAAAACTTTAAAAGGTGATGAAAACCATGAAATTTAATAAAGCAGGAGAAAAATAGAGAAAATGAAGGGAAAAAAGATTGATACTCTCTCCTGCCATCTTCTGATGAGCTTTGCTTTTATATTTTGTTTATTTGTGAATGTTGACTAGAAGAATGACAACTTTCTTCTCACTTTTCCTCAGTTCTACTAATGACAAAGATCAAGATGATATTGCTGAGTTCCGTAAATGTGTTCGTGTATTAGCTGATAAAGTTAGTTTCTTATCAAGGCATCGTGAAGAGCTGCTTGAAAAATACCCTAGAGTTGAAGCTTCTAACATACAGCTGCGGAAGGAATTAGAGGAGAAAACTGATAAGTTCAAAACTTATTACAATAAGCATCAACTCGAGAAGCAGGTAACTTGTGTCCTTATGTTTATGGATTCTATGCATGTTTTATTTTTACGATATGTGACTATTTTAATTTGAGATGGACTGCTTTTTATTTTAACTATTGCTACTTTCTTTAAAGCCAGCAAGAAATTGCCTGATGGCTACAAAATAGCACGAATGGTTTTTGCTGTGACTGCATATAGATTTAACTTTCATCTGTGGTGTTAGACTAAACTCCTCTGGCTTATTGAACACTACAAATTCTGAACTGAGCATGTTATTGTAGCTGAGAAATCAGCTAAAGGAAAGTTCTTTGGTTGTGATTTTGTTACAGGCTAATAGGGAGAAGATTTCCTTTGGTCGACTTGAAGTTCACGAGATTGCTGCCTTTGTGCTCAATTCAGCCGGGCATTATGAGGGGATTACTAGGAACTCCTCTAACTACTACTTATCTACTGAATCTGTGGCCCTGTTTGTGGACCATCTTCCAAGCAGACCTAACTACATTATTGGACAAATTGTGCATATTGAACACCAAACTCCAACTTCAACTCAGCTCGAGCATAGTAGAGAAAATCAACTAACCTCTGACATAGGGGCCAACCGGTTGACTTTGAATTCAAGCTCAACTTCAAACCCATATGGTCTACCTCTTGATTGTGAATATTTTGTAGTGACAGTAGCAATGTTGCCTGATACCACAATTCATTCACCATCTTCCTGATCCTGCATCATACTGGCAGATAAGACGTGACGGAAGAATTCAATTTGTACATAAACCTCTAAATGCTCTTTATGGGAGTTGAACTAGTTAACCATTTGTACAGCCGACGATTCAATTTCGTTAGATTACCCCCTGTACATATTTTTATACCTTTGACATGTATAGGTTGGGTTGTGAATATTATCAAGCACTTAGTGCATTAGTTGGCAATTTTGAGTATAATTTCTCGCATTTTGTTTGGTAAACAATATTTTGCAAATCTCATGGTTCACCTTTGTCGTATTAGTTGCACCCACAAAGCCAGATGATCTGTCTTTTGAGTTTTGAGGCAACAGGGTTCCCCCCACTAAATGTCGTCAAACGGAAAGTGCCATTATTCTTACAACCATTATTCTTACAGCATAATCTGCATTGTCTCATCGCTTCGTTATGCGCTTCCAATTTTGGGTCCTTAATCCATTGGAGCAAACAAAAAAAAAAATTTAAAATCTTACGTGGTATTAAAAGACTCAAAGTGAATTAAGAATCCAAAATAGGCTTTACAACGGGGGATGCTAATGAATGTTTAAATACGAATCCAGGGTAATAGACCAACGAGTGTTTAGATACGACTTTAGAGTAATAGACAACCCATTGTTTAGATACGATTTGTTTTTTAAGTATTTACGTTTTTTTATTTATTTATTAATTTTCATATTCATACTATTCTAACTTTTAGTTAACAAATGTATTGGGATTGGTTAGTTTGTAAGCATTTAGTAAAATGTTAGGTTATAAAAAATATCATTGTATCAGTTTTGGTAAAAGGGTCTATTTCGAAGAATCTCAGTAAAATGATCACCAAGAAAATTCAAAGACTATTCTAACCTAAAATATTCAAATGAGTGTAACCTCGCCCTAAACTTGGGAATGTTCTCCTATATATTAAGTGTGTCCCATGATCAAAATCCCTTATCTTTCGCTTTTGAATTCCAGGCTTTTTCCTCCCATGATACTCTCAAATTTTATCATTTAATAATCACTAGTAATTGCATATTCTTGTTATCTCATGATCTTGTGATTCAAACTGCTCTTACTACTCAATTTGATGAGTCTTATAGACACCATGTTTTATCCGGGCTTTTCCTACAAGGGTCAGGAGACCTCTGAAACAAGAAGAGCAACCCTTGAGGGCCAAGAAAGGTACGAAAATGAGCTAAGACGGAGCATGAGAAGTTCGAGAGGAGTTTTTGCATGAAAAAGGGTCAAAACCCTAAATTAGGCTCGGAACGGCATTCCCACCATTGGAACGGTTGTTCCCAATAGCATTTCTAGTGTAGTTTGCAACCGTAAAATGATCGTTCCACTTAACCTAATTTACTGTAATTCTGAGGTGCGAAGCAACCGTTCCCAACATTGGAACGATTGTTCCCCTTCCCTGGACGCCTATAAAAGTGTGTCAAAGGCTCATTCTTCCACACACTAGATTCTTTCCCCCTCCTTGAGAATTCTGAGTGATAGTGAGGTTCTTGTAGAGTGAAGAAGCTACCAAAAAGAACCCTTTGTTGATTTACAAGAAGGGTTATAAAAGCTTGCTTTGAAGGTTCCCAAATTCTTCTCTCTTATTTATTGTTTTATTTATCATTCTTCTTATATGCAATAGAATAGGCATCATGTAGATAATAAAGTAGAATGTATGTTGTAAATTGGGAATAATGTAGACAATTAAATCATTTTATGCTTAATAAGTAAAAGGGGTAGAATTTAATTACACAATTATTATGTTAATTTGTCATAGGATATCGAATTTGGGCATTGTGGGATGCCTAACACCTTTCCCGCACGTAACCGACTCCTGAACTCGACTTTGACTATTGTAGACACCTAATTTTGTCCGAACCTACAAACAAAGAAATGAACTTCTATTTATGAAGAAAAGGAGCTCCTGAAGCATGGGAATGACAAGATATGACATCAGAAGACCTAAAGCCCGATAAGGATTGATTTAGTAGCCCAGAACGAGTTGTTCCCAAGCTGGAATGACCTGTTCCAAACTGGAACGGGCCGTTCCTAATCTGGAACGGGCCGTTTTAAACTACTAAAAAGGCCTTGAAACCCTAGTTGAGAACGGGCCAGAACAGGCCATTCCAATAGAGGTTGTTATGAGTCATGTTTAAATCTGGCATAGGTCGTTCTGATACCGGAATGGGCCATGCTAAATTCAAATTTAACTCATAACAAACTAATCAAAAACGAGCCATTCTGAAACTGGAACAAGTTGTTTTGGTCAGTTCTGACATCTATAAATAATAGACTCAAGCACAAAACCAGGGGCCAAAAAAATTTGTCTAGGAAGTCTGATATAGCTTAAAATTTCTCTCTCTCTCTCTCTCCTATTATATTTCTTGAGATTTGTGAGGTATTTGTGTAGTGTGTAAGGCAGCCAAAAAGCGCCTCAAGTCTCCCATATTGGAAGAACATTAATAAAGCTTGCTATGAGGTATTATTTATCAATTTCTTTCTCCATCTTCAACTTCTTTTATTTTAAATATTGTTATAATAAAAGCAACCATGTAGACATCTTAGGGTCAATCGAGTAATTTAAATTTAAGTATGTGAATAACTATTCATAAAGGGGACTAAATATTTAAACTATTAATTCTTATCATGCTATCTTCATCATAAGGTACCGATTTAGGGCATTGTAGGGGTGCTTAATACCTTCCCTACATGTAACTGACTCCCAAACCCAATTTTGATTATTAAGGCCATCATTGGATTTTAAAAAATCTTTTCTTTTTCCAATGTTTTGAGTAAAACATTGGTGGCGACTCCATGAACCTATTTTCAAAACCATTACTTGAGGATTAGTCTGAAATCCGGGCATTCCTTAATTAATGAGATGTTTAAAAAATGGTAGTCAAAATCATTGGTCGTAATATTGGAATTTTTTGGGTTACGACAAATGGCGACTCCACTAGGATGTTTAAAGAGGATCAGACTCAAATAAAGGATGAAGTTAGCAAAATAAGAATAATAGTTTAAATATCTTTTCCTATTTACTTTGTTTGTTTTACTTGTTTGGCTTTGATACCTGTTTTTTTACTTAAATTTTGCTTCTATTTGAAATAACAATTGTACACAAACCATAGCACACAACAGTTCCCTCTATACCCGAGGGCATGAGCGCGTAAACATAGGCAGTGCTTGATGTCCGCACGGACCAAGTATGGCCTTAGAGCCTACAAGCCTTATCAGAAATCACACTCGACATGATAACCAGTAACTTTAGCCTGAAATATTGTGACAAACCTTAGAATTTTCCAGGTGACGGTGATAGAGGTATTGAGTCCCTATAATGGGGGTACCTTGGGAGCCTTAAAGATCAGTGAGGTTAGAACCATCATATACCACGTACTTTTCTTGACAGAGACCACAGACCAAGGATTTGGACGTAACTATTCGCAGGTGTACATTTATTTGAGCATATGTGTGTTGCATCTGTTATGTTCTTTTCGGCTCATTTCAAATAGATAAGAATTATAGGCAAGCAAAAAGATAATAATAAAAAAAAACTAATAGCCTTCTCTATACCCTAACCCTAAAAGCATCATATAGGATAGTTTATTTAAAAAAATAGCAAAAAAAGGTCATGCATCATAACCCTTAGTAAAAAAATGATAAAGTTTAGGAAAAAATAAATATCATGCATTTCTTAGGTTAGCATATTTGTAACAGCCCGATTTTAACAGATTGTACAAAGGCCCAAAGCCCAATAAGGGTGATTTAGTAGCCCAGAATGGGCCGTTCCAAACTACTAAAATTTCCTACAAATCTTAGTGGAGAACGGGACGTTCCAAATTAGCAAAAAAGCTTGTAACCCTAGTTGGGAACGGGCCATTCTGGTTTAAGAACGGGTCGTTCCAAACATGGTCATTATGGGTTAAAATATAACCCCAGAACGGGCTGTTCTGGTATTAGAATGTGTTGTTCTGGCTGTGAAATTTTACACATGACGAAGAGTCTAGAATGGGCCATTCCGGATTTGAAACGGGTCGTTCCAGCCACTCCTAATGCCTATAAATAGAGCTTTCTGGCATTCCCAAAAAGTACACCTTTCAGTTCTGACTTATTTCAGTTTTGACTTCTTTTCCTTCTACATTCTCTAAAGACCGAGGGGAACCCAGAGGAGGAGACCAACCAGATCTTACTCTAGTTTCAGCTATTACTTATCGAGGTACGGGGGAAAAGGGCAGATTTATATGTTGAGTCACATAAGGGGATAAGTGGAGAAGAGTTCTTGTAGAGTTTTTAATAATTTTATAATTGTTTTTTTTTGGAGAATTATTGGTATTATGAGATTTTGTATGTGTTTAGGATTATGAATATATAATTAATTTGTAAAAATGATGATCTGGGAGAGAGAACGAAATTGTAGAAAAGTGCTTGTGAGTTAGGTTTTGGAGAAAATTTCGGGTTTTACTATTTGATTTAATATTCTATTAAATTGGTGAATCAATTGGGTTTTATATTAATTTATAAATGTTATTGTTATATTATATGATAACAATTGATGATCTAAATGTGGATTCATGGTGAGTTGCTTGAGGGATATGTGAACCCTTGTTTTGTGTGGATTTAGTGTATGTGTTGTGTGAATGTGAATGTGAATGTGAATATGATTGTGGTTCCTCACACTTATGACCAAGGGTGGCACGACCTTGGGTAAGTGATGCTACAGGGGTGGCATGACCTTGGCATAGTGCGGGATGTGTGAGGCAATTAATACGTATCACTTATGTCAGGGGTGACATGACCTTGGGCAAGAAATGCTACATGGGTGACGTGACCTTGAATAACATGTTAGGGGTGAGCACGACCTTGGACAAGAAGTAGTGGTTGAGTGGTATTGCTTATTTGTTTTGATACTTCTTTATTACGTAAGAAGTAGTGGTTGAGTGGTATTGCTTGTATTGCAAACATATGTGCCAGTAGTAGTAGACGAAGCCTTGTGCTAACGAACTAGAACTATTAGAACCTTGGATGTGGGTGAGACATTGATTTTTCGAGTGTATTAAGAGTTTACGATTGGTGGAGTTTCTACAATCTATATAGTTGTAGCGATTGAATCCAAGGAGGTTGTATGTTGAGAATTGTAGTTTTGGTATTCTTGATGAGAGATTGGAACGTTGGTAATTTCCTTGAGTGTTGGTGTTTGCATGTTAACCTTTTATGGTTTAGGTAGCATGTGAGTTTTATTTTCTAAGTATTTTGTGATGAATATGTGAATTGTTTTGGTTTTGGATTGTAGTGGGAAGCTTGGATATGAGTTTGAGGTGGAAAGGAATGGGTTTAGAAGGATTGAGATATTTTCGTGGGCTAAGGTGTT